CGTGTATTCCGTGGCGTCATACAATGTATATTTTTGTTTCGTCCGCTTAAGGAACGAATTTATCCGGGGTTTCTTGCCTTGGGCGTCGAAGAAGTGGGAGTGTTTCGGTTTGCGCATACTAGATCTCTGTCGGTGTTTTGACCGCTGTCAAAATCCTTCTCTGTCGGTGTTTCATCGTTGTCGAAAACCTGAACGTCTTGTAGTGAGACTTGCGTGGTATCTTTATATTTGGTTGGTAATATTCGTTATTTGGTTTTGGCAGGGCACATAGTCTATATAAAACAATTTTGCGTCCCCAAGACTGAAAGTTAAAAAATATCCGAAACAAACCAAAAACCAAAACACTTCCCAATAAACGGGAGGGCGAGAAAAAAATCGGGTCGCGGGGAAGGGCAAGATCGAGTCGATCGGGAGGGGGGCATGTCAGCAAAACGACGAAAGAACACAGACTGAAAAACGCTGTGCGCCGGCAGCGGCGACAGTATTATTGCGAAGAGCGGGCCTACTACCAAGTATAAAGTTTTGCAGTGTGTGCAAAGCAACAGTCACCGACGGCGAAAAGGGTGTAGGATAGGTGAGTGTGAGCAATGTTTCGGTGTGTCTGTCTAATACCTAAATCGATATACGATTATGTTCTCATTTGATCATGTGTACCTTGTTGTCGCAAGCGGCAATTTTTTTTTGGCGCACGAAATGTTTGCTCAACAACGCTAATCGATCTGCCTTTTGGCGCTTTGGCAAGGAGTCATTTAGCATATCTGTCGCCGCTGCCGGCGCACCGCGTTTTTCAGTCGTCTTATTTCGCCGCATTTGCTGACACGCCCCCCTCGTGATCGACTCGATCTTGGCCTTCCGCGTGACCCGATTTTTTTTTCTCGCTCTCCCGTGACATCGTTTGCAGCCAGCACCAGCGGTAACCTTCTAGGCGCGCCGCCCAAGTGGAATTTCAAGAAGGTAGTCCTCAAACTCGAAGAGAATGCTGTTCTAGTTGATACCCTGTACTGTATGTTTGTTTTCTTTCACAAGGAAGGGGCGGAGGGGGGGGGTTGGGGGAGCGTACTCTTATGTTTTGCACGCCTTAGCGGTCAGACCAGTGACCACGCGTCCTCGAGAGGACGGAGCGATGTTCCCACAGGACTGATCACCGAGGGGCGGAGGGAGGTGGGTGTTTGAGCATGGGACCATACGAACCTTTCTGAGGCAGTCGTAGCGCCGAATCGCTGCTTCTCGTTGCTGAAACCCTGCAGGGTCTCTCCCTTTTTCCATGCTTGAACAAAAAATCCCCCAACATGTTGCCAGGCAAACTCCTCAAAGATCAAACCCCTCTGAAAAGATTCCCATCCATAAACCCCCGCGCACAGGTGGACCTCTCCCTCCTGCCTCGGGGTTTCCAGGAGAGATCCGACAACCCCAGGGTCGACGCCGGCGGGAAAAAGAGGCGGCGGGGGGGTTCCTCGGCGGGTGCGACGCTCGTGGGCGAGTTCGCGCCGCCGTCGACGGGTCGAGGCAGGGGGCGGGGGGCCAAGCGCTCCCTTGTGTACGCCGGGCTGGCCGCGTACAACGCTCACTTCGCGTCGCTGGTCGTGATGGAGCTCAAGCACGAGAAGGTAGGATATTGCCCCCCACCGTCGTTTTTGGTTTGCCTTGCGAGAGGGGGGGGGGGGGGGCGTACTCTTATGTTTTGCATGCCTTGGCGGTTAGACCATCGACCACGCGTCCTCGAGAGGACGGAGCATTGTTCCCACAGGACCGATCACCGATGGCCAATCGTTCCTTCCTACTTTGCCAGAGGGGGGGGGAGGGGTACTCGTGTAAACGCATGCCGAAGTCGTTAGACCTCGCTTTCCGACACCGCCGGGACGGAGCGAGTATGCCGGGCCACGCTACGTGTCGCAAGGATGACCCAGAAGCCGGGGGTGTCTAGGAGGCGAGAGATCGTTTGCTGGTGTCTGTATTTTGTCACTGCTGTCGTCGTTGAAACCTGCAAGGGTTCGATTACCATGTAGAAGTGTGTATGGTGCTAGACGGGGCGGGGTAATGAGCCACGGGGTGGTCGACTCAATACCTTGCAGCAGTCGATGTGTCTGCGATGCTTTTTGCGGTGGCGCGTGCAGTCGGTACCATTTTGATTTTTTGTATCCGAGTCATCAACATAAATTATGAAAGGGATGCTGCACCCAGCTACCTGCCTGCAACGAACGGCCGTTGGAATGCCGCATACAGCACCATAGGTGACACAACATACCTCACCCCCTGGACCAGTTTTCAAGGCTCGGTTGCTTCACACCACAAAGAGGGTGAGGATCTCCGGTGGTTTGGGGGTACAAATGCCGGTGAAGCACGGCCATTGGCTGTCGGAGCAAGACCAAACTGGTGTGTTGAAGAGTACCCTGTCTTTATTCCTCCTCACAAGCCAGCAGATCGTAAATCGGTGCTCTACAGAGCTGGTTCTGGTCGAAAAGGAGGGCATATTCAGGCGGTCGTTAATGCAAACTTCGGCCTCTCGTAGATAGAGCCTTTTTTCGTTCTGGGATCAAGGGAGAAAAGGCCGCTCTTCGCGCTCCGCGCTCAATATAAGTGTTGCCCTCCGTGATCACTCAAGCCAACCATCGGCCCCTCATTCTCATCGGGGATGGAATCCTGATGGGTATTGATCAATTGCCAATCCTGGCAGGTCTATACCTTCCTGGAGGAAAAATCCTTCTGCCGGACGCCCCCCCCCTCCCCCCCCCCCCCCCACATCTCTTCTCTCCTTCTTTCTTTTCTCCTCC